GCGCCCCCCCCCCCCCCCGCGGCTTTGCTCCGCGTCTTCCTGGTCTGCAGACCAGGGAGACGCGGAGAAAGCCCCGGAGTACACGGGTGGCAGGACCACGAGGTCCTGCAGTCCGTGTCCTCCGTGGGAGCCCCGTTCGTAACTGTGGATCCGACATAAGTCAGATCCGCGTAAGTCGGGGACTGCCTGTATTTAACAGGATAACAAGCCTTGTGAATAAGAGGGAAGTGGTAGATGTGGCTAGACTTTGGTACAGTCTTACATGACCTTTTCACTATCAAAGTAGGGAAATTCAAGCTAGATAGAAGTTCTATAAGGTAGGTGCATAACTGGTTGGACAACCATTCCCAGAGAGTAGTTATCAATGGTTCACAGTCATGCTGTAAGGGCATACTGAGTGGGGTCTCACAGGGCTCAGGTTTGGGACCAGTTCTGCTCAATATCTTCATCAATGATTTAGACAGTGGCATAAAGAGTATGCATTTAAAGTTTGCAGATGATATCAACCTGGGAGGTGTTACACGTGCTTTGGAGGATAGGATAATAACTCAATGATCTGGACAAACTGGAGAAATGGTCCAAAGTAAACAGGATGATATTCAATAAAGACAAGTGCAAATCAGTCCATTTAGGAACAGTTAGTTGAACACGTACAAAATGAGAAATGACTACCTAGGAAGGAGTACTGTGGAAAGGCATCTAGAGATAATAGCGGATCACAAGCTAAATGTGAGTCAACAGTTTGACTCTCGTGCAAAAAAAGCAATCATCATTCTGGGATGTATTAACAAGAGTGTTGTATGCAAGACATGAGAAGTAATTCTTCTGCTCTACTCTGCACTGATTAGGCCTCAACTGGAGTATTGTGTCCAGTTTAGTCACCACATTTCAGGAAAGATGTGAACAAATTGGAGAAGGTCCACAGAAGAGCAACATATATTATTAAAGGTATATAAAACATGATCTATGAGGGAAGATTGAAAGAACTGGGTTTGTTAGTCGGGAAAAAAGACTGAGATGAGACATGATAACAGCTTTCATGTATCTAAAAGTTTGTTACAAGAAGGAGGGAGAAAAATTCTTCTTCTTCACCAAGAAGCATTGGGCTTAAATAGCAGCAAGATGGATTTAGGTTGGACATACAGAAAAACTTCCTAACTTCTCACGACAGTTAAACACTGGAAAAAAGTGCTAGGGAACTTATGGAATCACCATCATTGGAGATTTTTAAGAGCAGGTTAGATATACATCTGTCATTGGCTTACATGGTGCTTGGTCCTGCCATGAGTGCAGGGGACTGGACTTGATGACATCTGGAGGTTCCTTCCAGTTCTATTATTCTGTGAAGTAAACTGTCATAGCTCCATTGACTCCAGTGAAGCGATCACAATTTACACCAGGATGAGGATCTGCTCCACGTGATTTGTGTGCATGAGTTTTTTCTGTGATTTTTTTCAAGCCATCCATGTCATTTTCAGGTTATTTTTATGTTTGTTTGTTTTTTTGTATCAGTTGCAAACTGGCTGAAGAATTCCACTGTACCCTGACAAATCAGCATGTGTCTTTCCTTGAACAACAGCATCTCCTGTAGGCTGTGGTGGATTAGGTCTAGTGGCTTATTGCCTGTGCATTCCCACAAATACCCTCTGACTTCCCCTCTGTCTGACTCACTTCCTCACAGTATTTTCACTAGTAGCTGACTAGGTCTCTGATCATTCCTGAAACATTCTATACAAATACTTTTCTAACTGGATAGTAGCTCATCCTTTCCTGCTTAAACATGAAATTGCTTCCAGCTTAGGCCCTGTCTTCTGTTTACTTTCTGCCATTTATGGGGCATATTCCCACAATAGAATAGTCCCTCAACAAATAGTTAGGTCTTGCAATGTCCATGGGGTCCAGCTATGTCGTAACAATATTTCTAAACCATTCTAGAGTTTTAGATGTTGCTAACACCAAAAGTCTCTGGTATTACAAGCTGCTGTGTTTCAAACTTCCAAATGAAGCTTGTATCTCCCAGAGGGCTTATACGTGTGGCTAAGAGACTATTAAATTCTATCCAATCTACATCATTATGGACACAGCTAAGAGCTACTGTATTCTAATTATCTCTCCAATCCACTATAGCAGAAAATTCAAAGGAACAGAGTCTATTTTCATATTAATTTTGAAAAGCACTTACAAACTTCAACAGGATCTTACTGAGCTATATGAAGAAAAAAAAAGTGTCACTTCCCTCTAGAAACAATACTTTAACATTTTGATAGTAAAGTGAACATGCAGCCTACCTTTTTCTCAGGGACTATGTGTTAAATAGTTTTTCTACAGAGAGAGCCACCTGGGCACAGCTATGAGAATAACTGACTTTTCTGTCTGCTTGTCTTTGTGAAAAATCGAAACAAAA